ATACAAGAGCCATCTGCGCACTTTGATTTTTCCATTGACCTTTCTCCAGAACTGTCAAAATGTAAAACATTTCAAGACAGGTGATTACCGTGAACCACCGTTTAAGTGCGCGAAAAAAAACCCTTTATATGGATCACCTGAGCAATAAAATGATAAGATTTTTTTTTTTCTTCTTCGGTGTATCTTCACTATAATTACATAACACAGATCATCTCATGGTCGGCTGTGATAAAAGTAAGAATTTATATAAGGTTGGGCATACGTTTTGTCTATTAATGTGACACATTTTGTAGTACAGCTAGAAATGTGGAAATCGGTGAAGTCGTATATAAAGTTTTAAAATGAATGGATTTCCGAAGAAAATGTTTTACTTTTAATTCAGGTATTAGAAAAAAGTTTAGTATAGGAAACGAGTATAGAAGTAGTTTTAACGATAGGCTTAATTGTTACTACTGTAATGCTAAAACTATAAGAAATAAAATAGATGACTTTAGGGCAATGGTTGGAATGGAAGATATTAATATAATAGGAATAACTGAAAGGTGTTCAAATGTAAATGATTTTTATGCCAGACATTTCTTTGAAATACAGGGTTATAGGTTATTTAATAGGGATATAGTACTAAAGAGAGGGGGGAGGAGTGGCTTTATATGTAGAAAGTGAGTTACATCCTGTTGAAGTTGAGGGTATCAAAGATAATAGCAAGGAGATTGAATCCATTTTGGTTCTCTATTAGCGGATATAAACTGAAAAGGTTTTTAGTTGAAATTTTTTACAGACCACCAGATGATACTGATAATATTAATGAGAGACTTTACAATGAGATTAATATTTCAGCTGTTAATGATGTCATAATTTTGGGTGATTTTAATTTCAGGAATATAGATTGCGAAATGTTAGTGTCATGAGGGAGAAAGGTTTTTGGAAACTGTTAAAAATGGTCTTCTTCATCAATTGGTTAAGGAACCTACTATAAACATTGATTTATTGTTAACTTGTAACATAGAAATTGTTGAGAGGGTGAAAATTGGGGAATATCTGGGTGCAAGTGATCATTGCTCTATTAGGTTTGATGTTTTGCTGCATACGGAGATCAGGAATAATGATATTTTTGTTACAAATATCAAAAAAGTAAATTTTGAAGGGATGTGACAAGAATTATCAGTTGTAAATTGGGCAACCGAGTTATGTGGAGACATTAATCAATTACGGAAAAATTTTAAAGATAAGTTTTTAAATATTCAAGATAAACATATTCCTTATAAAAAGAAAAAATTAACAGTAAGGATTTTTTAAGTACATTAAGGGTAAAAAAATGCTAGGATGAGGGGTAGGACCTTTGAGGGATGACAAAGGAAAGCTTGTATCTGATGATTATGAGATGGCTTGGTTATTAACTTATGCTTTTTCTTCGGTTTTTACTAGTGAAGATTTAGGCAGTATTCCTCATCTTGAACAGTGGATAGATGGAGGCAGTGTCGGACAATATGACTGTATTAATTCTGAACTTCTTAAGTAAATATTGGAAAGTTTAAAAAATGATAAAGCTCCTGGGCAAGATAAGTTCTTGAATAGTGAGCAGGTGCCAAAGGATTGGAAGTCAACTAATGTTACTCCTCTTTTCAAGGGAGGTAATAAACATTGTCCCAATAATTATAGGCCTATTAGTCTTACATCAGTTGTGGGAAAAGTTTTGCAAAGTCTGATAAAAGATGCTTTGCAAAGTCATTTAACAAAGTTATTAGATGGTCAACATGGTTTTGCTAAGGGAAAATCTTGTCTTATAAATCTTTTGATATTCTTCGAAAAGGTACCGCTTATGTAGATGAGGGTAAGGGTTTAGATTTGGCGTATCTGGATTTTCAAAAGGTCCTTGACTAGGTGGCACATAAAAGTCTTATAAAAATTATCTCTATAGGTGTGGGGGATAAGTTAGCTAATTAGATAGAACAGTCGCTGGATGGAAGAAAGCAGAGAGTTGCTATAAATGGAGTTCAGTCAAACTGGATTAATGTCACAAATGAGGTACCTCAGGGCTCAGTCTTAGGACCTTTACTCTTTTAGATTTACATCAATGACATAGATGAAGGAATGGTCAATAAATTACTTCAATTTCTGATGATACCAAGGTCTTGGGTGTTGCTATCTGCGAAGAGGATGCTGCTGCCTCACAAAAAGATTTAGCTTATTTAGTGAATTGTGAAAGTGAATGGCAGATGAATTTTAATTGTAATAAATTCAAGATAATACATATCATAATTTGAATCGTAAGTATAATGAAAGAAAGGGATCTTGGTATAATAGTTGATCACTCTCTTAAGCCATCCAAGCAGTGTGCTGTTGCTAGTGGTAGGGCAAATAAAATTTCAGGTTTTATCTACAGAAATATTGAAGACAAGTCTAAAGAGGTTATAATTTCATTGTATAGGTTACTGGTTAGGCAGCATTTGGAGTATTGTGTTCAGTCTTGAGCTTCTTTCCTTAGGAAGGACATTGAATTGTTGGAAAGAGTTCAGAGGAGGTTATTATAATGGTGCCTGGGATGGATGGTATGTCATATCATTATGATCTTTGAAATTGTTTTCTCTTGAAAAAAGAAGGGTTAGAGGAGATCTGATTGAGGTGTTTAATATTGTAAAGGGGATTGATAGTGTTAATGCATCATCTTTTATCATACTTAATGGCGAAAATAATAGGACACAAATATAAATTTTGGCAAGGTATGATTCATCTCCAAGTAAGACATTTATATTTTTCTAACGAGTGGTTGGCCTCTGGAATGGGTTGCCTTCTGATGCTGTGGAGGCAATAAATTTAAGTGAATTTAAGAGAAAGCTTGATAATTTTATAAATGATAAGGGCTAGCTTTAAGAATTTTTAATAGTTTTAGTTTAGTTCAGATGATGGGACAACTGAGATGGATCAGTAGGCCCCTTGTTGTCGTTAAACACTATGTTATGTTATTAAATCAAGATCGAGAACAGTGAAATTCAACATAATATATTATATTATGTTAATTCGGGCTGTGAACTAAGCTTGTTAAATCATTTTAGAGTTTAAGTAGTTAAACTCAGCATAATTAACTTTTCAGATGATAGGTATAAAAGCTCTTTGTGCCTGTTTTGTATAAATTATACTATTCTGTTCACCATCTGTAAGAAAATTACAAAGAAAG